TGAAGTTGGATTAAAGACAGATGTAAAGCCTGTAACAAAAAATACATAGAAGGAAGCTCTGGTGAGACATTTCAGACATCATTGATGGAGATGTCTTTGTAGACTCAAACTCTAGAGCAAGGGAGATAAAAAAAAACAAAAAACAAAAAAGTGGGTGTCCCTAAAAGTATAAATTATTTTACATAATGAAAAAAAAAAAGACATTCAAAAGCCATGCAAGACAGCCCACTGAATGGGAGAATATATTCAGAATATATTCACATATCATACAACCAACAAAAGGTTAATATCCGGGCCCTCCCTGGTGGCGCAGCGGGTTGAAGCACAGCACTAAGAAGTTTAAGCCACTTGCGCATGAGTTCGATCCTGCCTGCCTGCCCCGGAGGAGATCCACATGGCGCAGCAGACCTCTCCTGACCCGCACGCTGCTCCCCTCAGCAGTGTACTTTGTCGCTCTACCTGTTCAGCTCCCCACTCTGTCTCTGGTGAATCCTCTCACCCACCGCATCTCTTGCCTGTACCCCAGTTCTGTATGAGTAAATAAATAAATCTAAAAAAAAAAAAAAAAGGTTAATATCCATGGTATGCAAAGAACTAATCCCACACAGAACTTAGCGTGTATGGCAGATCCTGGGTGATGGGTACTCATATGGCCCCCACCTAGAAGCAAAGGGCAGATGATTAGTCACATTGCTCCCTATGCCATCTGCTCATCTTTTATGACAAGTGTCTGAATTGGTAAGAGGAAACTAAGGGGTTGGGAATTCAGGGAATAGGAGAACCGCACCCCTTGGCTCCCCAGAACATGTCAACCTAACCTTAATTACACTGTCTCCTCCTCTTCTAGGCTATCAGAAATCAGGAGACATGAAGCCTGGTGCGTGGCATTGCATGTGGTAAACATATGTTGCTGATGTGCGTGGAGGCCAATGTACTGTGGCACTGGATTCTGAGAAAGAAGGTTTATTGTAAATTGATTGTCAAGGACGCAGGAGATCAACTCAAAACCCAGTTAAAGAGAAGTAATGAGCTTACATAATAAGGTCTTGGGGACTGGGTTGAGAACAAAGGAGCTACATTTTGTTGGCTAAGGCATGGGCTCAGTAAAAAGTGACGTGGATTTGCCTGAAGTTCATTTGGAAGTTCACACCAGTTCACATATGAAGTATGAAGAGGCGTTTTCCCCAAAAAAATAACTGGAGATTTAAATATCTATTGGTGGGTTTCTCACATCTGACTAGTTCCCTTTCTGTTTTCAATCTCCTGGCTCCAGATGGCCTTGGTGCATAGCTCAAGGTTAATTGCTTCTCGAGGCTAAGTCTAACTGCAGATAAACTGCATTTGTGGACACAAACTTCAAAGAGAAAGTTAGCTAAGTTTTTTTTTGTTGTTTGTTTTTCTTTAAGGACTGAGAGCAATTTAACTTTGATTACATGCACATTATGTATTTTCTGGATAAATGATGAAATACAGAACTAATTCTGTGGTCAGAGCAGGGACCCTGGGGGAGGGAGGCTCTCCACTGAACTTAACCACACTGTCCTCTGTGGCACTCTCCCTATGGGCTCAGGTGCGTCCACTCACGCCGGCCCACACGGTGCTCCAGGTACAGCCATCAGGCCTGAGTGGGAACGCACAGGCCTCAGAGACGCTAATGGGTGGTAAAAGCTGATAACTTCCATTTACTCCACGTTCTCCCCCACCTCTCCAGGGTTTTCATCATACAATTTACACACAAGTTTCCCTTGGTGAATATGAACACTGCGGCCCTGACCCACACAAACAAGCAATGCAAATGAAGAGCAGTCTGACAATACAGCTTGCGCCCAGGCGGGGCACTTACCTCGACGGTTGCTGGTGCCAGCAGATGTTCCATTGTTCAGGAGAGAGAAACACCTCCACTCGGCTTCTGCCAGTCACCCCTGGAAGCATCAAGCAGGCCTCTCTGGCTGCGGTCTCAGCCCAAGTGACACCCACCCACCCCTGGATGCACTCACTCAGATTGACCACACACCCGATACTCTTTGGGGGATAATCGCCCAATCCCGAGCGGCTCCATGTGATGAATCCTGGTCCTCTTTCCTCCCTGAGGCGTCTGCTGCCTCAGGGGTCGTGGGCTGGTCCTTGCAGCCTGTGTCCCTCTCTGCTCAAGGTCTTCCCCAGCTTCTCCCAGACCTTGCCCACCTCCTTGTGCTCCTGCATCGTCTTTAGGTCTTTTGATGCTCGTGGACTTTGGCCACAGCTTGTGCCACCATGGCGCCTCCAGCGTTGTCCCTGATGCCACCATTTGCAGAGTTGCGAGGGACATTCATCCCCCAGCCCTGCCTTGGAGCAGGCACCATGTCCATTCATTGCTTCCCAACCATAATACAGAGTCCTCTCTGCCTGCACTGGAGATTCAGGAAGTGCCCAGAGAGGAAGCTGGACACCCCTCAGTCCCTCCTGAGGTTTTTGGAGGGCTCCACACCTGTCTATGTTGAATCACCCTACCGGCCTAGCTATGTCGTAGCAGGCAGTAGGGCAGAGCAGGTGGGTAGGAGGATACCCAGCGAATCTTTATGCTTCCTGGGCTCTCTCTGAGCTCTTCCTCTGCTCTCCACTGCACCCATAGCACCATCCCCCACCCCTGTCTCGCTGCCTGCCTGGCCTGCCTGGCCCTCTGAGAGGCCATCCCTATCTGCCCAGTCTCAGCTCAGGTGTGTCCATTCACACACACCCACACCATGCTTCAGGGGCCGCCATCAGGCCTGTGTATGAGCGCACACAGGTGTCCATCATAGATGCTAATGGCGAGAGTGTGGGAAAACTTGATGGCTTCCATTTACTGTATACTTCTCATGAGCCTAAAACATGACTTGCAGATGTTGAGTACCATCTTCATGTTCTCCCTCTACACTGCTTCAGATCAGCATGATACATCCAAGAAAGGAGTTTTGGTTATCTTGTCTGGTGGCCAGTGGAGTTTCCATTTACAGAGTCAGTGAAGCAAAGAAAGAAACTGGCTATCACACCAGGGCACATATAGAGAGAGCAGACAGAAACAGCAGTCTCCTAGCCTTCCTCTGAGAAAGGTAAATTTTAAATGGTGCTATCTGAAGGTCCAGCGTCCAGTTAGCCTGAATCTAGGTGCTGATTCAGAGCCTCTCCTTTGAGATGTACCCAAACCACTGGGAGCCCCTAAAAATAGGCAGTTGCTTGGATGATCACAGAGATTTGAGAGATAACTAAGAGTTAGGGCAAGTTTGACCGATAGGGTTCATCTCTTTCAAGGCTGGCAGAGGTGACTTTTTAAACTACTGCATAAAAGCCAACACAGAAAAATCATGGAAAACAAAGAAACCGAGGGATATGTTCCAACTGAGAAATCAAGATAAATCCTCAGGAAAAGACCTCAAGTAAAATGGAAAAATGTGATTTACCTGTGAAGAGTTCAAAATAAAAGTCATATTCACTGAACTCAGGAAAAGAATGGATAACCAAAGAATGCTTTACTTACTTTCAGTGTTGATTTAATTCACATTTGTTGTATAAACATAGGGACTCATAGGCTGGAGAGTGAGTAGAGCTAACTGGTGTTTACAGGACTAGCCAGAGGGAAGAGAGAGACAGAACATAGCAGTTTAAGAATTACCACTTGTACCTTACAGAGGGTGAAAAGCATGCAGCAAACTGAAAATCAGCTCCAACATTCAATATTCTGGAACATTAGAGCTAGAAGGAGACTTTTCACCAGTTTGTCTCATGTGTGTTTTTTGATCATATATGAAGATATTTACAGGAAAGTTCAGAATGTATGTCAAGGTCTAATTCTAACATGAATTTATTGTTGGTATTAACAGGGATTAGTCAATAGTTTGTTCATTCACTTGAGTTAGGTAAAAAATACAAGAGATTTTAATTTTATAATTAGTAAATGGCATAGTTCAAAGAAACTGAGGCTCAGGAAAGACTAGAATTACTTATATGAAAGTAATCATGATAGTCTCTTTATCTGTCTTTAAATAAGGATTGTTTTTCCTTTGTAACAGTTTCTCTTTATCTATTTTGTAACAGTTTCTCTTTAAACCACATTCTCTTCAAGCCAGTTTCTTACAAATCTAACTCAAAAGAAAGAAAGATGTGTTTTCCTCATAGTTGTCAGATTGTGTATTCTATGGACCTATCATTGTAGAAAAAATTTCTATTCCAAAACTTGAAGAAAAGACTATTTAATTGTCCTTTAAAAACAATCTGGCTTTGCCTAATGGAGTAGATAACATTTTAAGGAAAAAATAGTACTTCTGAGAAATACTGCCATGGGTCAGGCTGGAGGTAGCAGTTTAAGGGGGGCTCATCACTATTGAGTATCTGAGAGGGCTGCCCTATAAAAAATAGTAGAATTTGTCACCCAGTTTTGTGTTAGGCCACAGGGAAATGCACAGACTAAGAACCTTCTCAGACAAGGCCATTAGCATGGGTCTCTGTGGAGCAGTATGTTAAGCCCAGCCTTTCCCCCTTCCACTGGAAATTTAAATGCACAAAAGTGGGCACCCGGGGGCTGTATTGGTACTGAGTTAGGCCCTGCTGGCTCAGATTTAGTGTCCCAGAGTAAGAATATAAATGTGGTAAGCATACCACAATCGCTACCATAGCGATTTGGAACTTAAAGGGGGCTACAAAGAGTGGAGGATTTGAGGACATTTCCTAGAGTCCTGACAGGTTGATCAACTCGGGCTGTGCCAGGTCCTGCACTTTCAGTTTAGAGTGCAAAGGTGGTATTGGTGGCATTTAAACAATAAGCTCTAACAAGCTAGTGTATGAAGAGACGAGGAATGAGTAGCTGGCCCCAGGGACCAGGCCAAAATGGAGTGTAGGCTGAGTCTGCACACCTGTAGCCTGTTTGGGTCAGAACTTGATGGGGTGGAAAGACTTCCAAGTGCTGCAGGTTTGGGCCAAGCCTTTAAATTAAGAGCAAATGGAGCCAGAGAAAAGAGTCTGGATGTGGGCTCAGGCCATGTAAGATGGCTGTCCAATTGCCTGAGGTGCCAATGCTGAGAATCTTCTCTTTCCTGGACGTGTGCAGCCTGCTACAGGTTTCCCAAGTGAACAGGGTAAACACTTACCATCAAAATGCCCTGAATCAACCAGCCTTCTTTCCCCCCACTCCTGCCCCATTCTTCCACCTTATAGGTGCTTGCACAAAGTCCATTTCATTTATCTCCCTTGGTTTTGAGATCTTGGCTATGCCCCGTTTATCCCCATATAACCTTCCTTTCTCCTTAACTTTACTTTGTTCAGACCTATCCCTTTAGCTCTGATATACCCAAGACTCAGTCACTTCTCCAGACCAATCTGAGTACTGATTTGTAGAACAGCAGGATAACACATTGAATGTTTTGGGGTTAGCATCCTTCATTCTGAGCCCCTCTTGTTTTGCCTAAATGATAATGGCAGAATATACAGGGTTTTGTGTGTGTGTGTGTGTGTGCTGACTAAATCGTCCTTAAGACTCACATTCCAAGCTCTAGGAAACCCACATTTCTCCCTGTGAACTCCTCCACAAATAGTGAGCATCCCTACTAGTAGGAATGGGCCATGTTCTTTACATGCCTATCTCCCCTGACAGGAAGGGCCTTGAGGCTTAGATGGTGGCCATTTAACCCACGTGGGCCTTTCTCCCAGGACAAATGATGGCAGAGTGGGAGACCGTGTTTGGGTACAGACTGATTGCTTCCCTCTCCCTTTCTTTCTCTTAGTACTGGAATGAGGTTGCAGAGACAGATTCCCTATGGAGGTGAGCAAGGGAAGTAGAGGGTTGGATGGGAAGGCAGGTGTCTCAGGGGAGAGGAGGACATCCGATTGTGTACTTAGGCCTGTGTGTGACTATCGTGAGAGGCATGAGTGAAAGTAACCGTGAGTAAAGAGTTGGGTGCACCAGAGGTGCTGAGGAGGTGAGCCAGATGACACTGTGACCCTATCTCCAGAAACCTGTGTGTGAGGAAGTGGAGCTTCTGCAACTTTTCACATCAGTGCTTGGGAACAAAGACATGGAAGCAGTTCTTCCTCACCCAAACAAAGCAGGAGCGGCGGATGGCACTGGCACAGCCAGAGGACTTTAACTGCAAAGAAGCAACAGGAAACCTCGGTAAGGAGGCAGAGTACTCTGCAGAATGTGGAAAAGAAGTTTCTTGTTTTAAGAAATCCACAGTATGCTTTTCTGTGTGTTCATTTGAATGGGAATTAAAACCGATGGGATGGGGTTGCTGTGACAACTACCTAGTCACCCTGCTTTCTCTTTTGCCCCCACAATCTATCCTGCATGGAACAACCACAGTACTCTTTTGATAACATAAAAACTGAGCCCTATTAATATCCCTTTTCCCCCACAAGCTTCCTATCCTTCCTAAAATAAAAGATTTAGGCCCTCCCTGGTGGTGCAGTGGGTTAAAGCACAGCACTAAGAAGTGAAAGCCACTTACGCATGAGTTCGATCCCCGCCTGGCCCAGATCAGGCGCAGCAGACCTCTCCTGACCCACTCGCTGCTCCCTCAGCAGTGTACTTCATCAATCAACCTGTTCTGTTCCCCACTCTTTCTCTGGTGACTCCTCTCACTGCCCTGCACCTCTGGCCTGTACCCCAGTTCTGTATACATAAATAAATCTTTAAAAAAAGAGATTTAAACAAAAAGATACTTTTCAGTAATGGAGGTTCTACCACTCACTTTATTCCTGGTACCTATTTAAAACTTACAGTTATCTAATGGAGAGGTTTTTATCTCCATTTTATATCTATGGAAACTGAGATTAAGGAGGAAAACAAGTTGGTCAATCTCTCAAGTGGCCAATCAGCAATGGGAACTCATTTTGGGATGACTTGGGAGACTAATTTTTACTCAAACCCTTCTAAGAGGGTGTAGAAGACTTAAAATTATCTTTTCAGACTTCTTATTCAACTGGGTCATCCCTTAACTATTTGGTGGCCAATTATCTATGCTTCCTCCTAGGAATCTTAGGACCTATGGCTTATCTGTCAGGAAGTGGCCACACAATGGATGGACAAGAGAGGTCGGTCATTTGTACCGTGTCTTCCAAACGCATGTTGTATGCCTGGGATGTGCAACAGGTGAGTGTGGCCAATGAAGAGCCTGTGTCCCTACTCTGACACCTAAGTGTGGGAGGAAAGTGATACTTCGAATGGCAACAGAAAGTTCCAGATCAGGTCCTCTTAGACTGCAGACGCAGAGAAGTCACTTTGTGATGTTTTTCTGTATATGAACTTGGCAAGGACTTATTTTCTGTTGGTAATATACAGTGATCTAACCCATCTTTGGCAGTATACACCTTCATTACCTATTCTATTGCCTCTCTGGTCAACTGTTGGCATTTGCTACATAGACTTTTTCAGGAAGTGTTCTCTAACCCAGATCCTAGGGGCACAAAGGTTGTGATATATTAGGACCAGCACATTTGGTATAAGAAGCACTAGGAACTGGAAAAACCCACAGTGGATCCCAGGTTATTGCATTTTCTTGACTTTTCCTGTTTGTATTTCCTGTTTGATATAGTGACTCTCTCCTATAGTCTTCTGAAATATAAGAAATACTTTTTTATGAATATATGAGATGGCAGAGAAATATATGAGATGGCAGAGAAATATATGAGATGGCAGAGAGAGGGAGTTTCCAGATGAACACTGTAAGAATGAAAGCACAGTATGTGTGAAAGTTCTTTGAATACATATAATGTTATTCTTGTTCTCCAGGGCATTATGATCTGGTCAAGCCCAGTCCAAAAGTCTAGAATCATGAACCTCACAACCCTCCCTCAGATGCACCTTGCGTTCACTGCAGATTTGGAGGGAACTGTCAAAGTGTGGAATTGTCAGGATGGGGATGCTCTGGCTACTTTCAACATGCCTCGGGCCAGTTTCTCCTTGGAAGCTTGCCTTACTAAGTATGGTTCATTTCTTATGGTGAGTGAGTGCTGCCTGGAAGAGGCCCACAAGTAGAACACCTACTGCCTTAATAGGTAGTCATCCCTCCACATGCTGTGAGAGTTAAATACACCAATGAATGTTGGTCAGATGAATCTCCATGCCATCATGGCTCCGATCCACCTCCTTAGTCACTTCTGAAACAAAAACCTTCCTGAATTATTTCATTTCTATGTCTCTTTTCTGAAGTATTTATTATCATACAGTGCATGAACTTGGACAAGGATTGTGGTCATGTGGCAGAAAAGAAATACAGTTTTAGGGAAACATTGAGAGGGAAAAAGAAGTGATCCTGTACTAATGGGTAACTGTTCTTGAGAAGAGTGCTTAGAAAGTTTTTCTCCTTGGGATCACCCCAACATATTTGTGAGACAGGCTGGCCAGAGATTTTAATCTCCATTAAGTGATTGAGGAAATGCTGGCATCTCTTGCAACTGACTCCCATGTGATTTCAAAATGATTTCTGTATGACTTTTGATGTCACACCTCTTTCCACCATTGACATGGTTACTGGTGATGCCTTGGTTTCAGGTGGGCAACGCTGACGGTGACATCTACACATTGACAGTACCTGAATTAAGGAGCATTTCTCAAGTTAATGCATTTAAATACAGTGTTGATTTTCTTCACTTCTCCCCTGATAAGAATTGGCTGTTTGCATGTGGGACACATCAGAACATCTTGCCAAGGGTAGGTGTGGCTCTGTGTGCTTTCACTGCGGAAGGAGAGGGTTAGGCCTTAGGAAAGGCAAGGAAGGAGCGTCAGAGAAACTGCTGAGCTTGGTGAGGAGCTGACATGCTGCTCCCTCTCTCAAGTGCCCTTGCGATAAATGGAAACCACTCCTGCAGCCCAGAAACCCCGTTCAGTTGCAAGACAAACACTGATTAATGAATATTTGCTCTTTAAATCTAAATCAACCAAAGAGATGGAGAGTGAGTGATCAAAGAGTGAGGGTCTATGGTAACTTTGTTCATTTTTCCTTTCCATTCCTCTACTTGACTGGAAAGTAAGAGAGACACTGAAGTAAATAAATACATGTCAGTCTCTGATGATCACTCTGAGAAAGTCTGGCCTTAGAGTTGCCATTTTTAGCTTGGCATGTGTGGACTGGGAATCAGAGAGCAAGGGGTAGCAGAAGCAAAGCAGCCCTTGACGAGTTCCCCAAGAATGGAAAGTCTACTTACCTGCGGCTACTTATTGGGGCCCAGTGTGACAAGGTGATTTTATAGCCTCTTGGCATGCCAGACTATATTTATGTGTGACTGTGACAGGCAGACCAGGAAGACAATGAGTTCTTATGTTGGAGTAATGAGCAGTGACTGCTCAACAATTCCTACATATAATAAAGTTTGGTCACATGAGGATTTTTAAGGGGACTTTCCTGGAGTTACTCTTGTACTGAGATGCCAGAACTTCTCCCTTCACTGTAACATGTGTGATAATCTCTCCATAGGTGTTTTTCACAAAGTGCTTATTGGGTCTATCGGAGGACTCTGCCCCTCTGTCTCTCTCTCTCCCATTTTCATCATGCTGCAGAGCCTGCTGGGCTCCGAGAAGGCCAAACCGGATAACACTAATGTTCCGAAGGGACTCTTTCAAAAAGACAGGATTCACCACCTTTGATCTAACAGCTGTGAAGAATGGGGACCGTTTTGTCATCCAAGGTAGGCAGTGTCATGTCAGAGACACTTGTTTCTCCCTGTTACTCATGCATTCATTTTAGGCTATGAAATTATGTAAACAGGGCATATGTAATGGAGGCAGGGATTTCTTGAACTGGGGACAAGCCAGTTGTCTCTTTGATTTTTGATTCTGATGCTTTTGACCTCTTCACTCCACCTGCTTTCTTAGGAGGACGGACATGTTTATGTTCTCATTGTGCTTTAGGCCCTGGATTCTAACGACCCTTCTCATGGCAGGCCTTCCCTCAATGCTGAACTCTTACTCATTCCCCTCTGCCCCTGTGTCACAGCACCTATTACCATGACTAAGTAACCCAAACTTGGCCCACATATGTGCATCTGTGTTTAATGGCTGGTGGTGTATCTTCTGAGTAAATAAAATGTTTTTTTTTTTTTTTCAAATGAAAACAGCAAACCAGATTGCCAGTTTCCTGTTGCCATCTCACATGGAGAATCCTGTTTGGATGGGAGTCAGCGATGGAAATATGATTGCCTTTGAGAATGGGCCATACCTGTTTCTCTTCACCATCAATGGCCTCCTGCTGCAACGATTTGAGAATCACCGGAGGACCATTGGCAACTTGTGGGCGGTATGTACATCCTCCTCCCCACACTGCTCACAGCCCTGACTTTGCGTCATGCCATTCACTCCGGGCTGTCCTTTGAAGGATTCTGTCCACATCCTTACCACATCCACGGATGACTCTCTGCATGTATACATGTGGGAAGAAGAAGGACATTATCCATACCTCAAAAGCTGCTGTCACCTGACACAGAAAGAGAATGATAAGACTCCAAGCTGGTAAGCTCTGATTTGTGACTTAAACTTTCCCTGAAACTTTTAAATTTATAAATAATAAAACAAATGCAGGGATAATAGATATTTTCTAAGATCTCTGATAGCTATGTGAAGAAACATGTTCCCCAAAAGAGAAGCACTAGTTCTTGGGGGCTTGTCCATGGCCCTTGTGATAGATGTCAAAGGTTTTTCCAAAATTGCTTTCAACTTATATTCCCACAAGCAATATATGGAAGATTTATATCCTCAATCTCTTACCTTTACTGTACATTTTTTGAGTCCATTAGACTTATGGGTTGCTTCTTTTGTGAATTGCCTTTATCTCCATTTTGCTGAAATTTCTTCTAGATTGCTTGCCTTCATCTAAGATAATCTTGAGATATTACATCCTAAACATAGAAGTCTTATCTCTTATATACTTTAAAAATATTTTCTTCTAGATTGTTGCTCCTTCTTATAATGCCTATTTTTGACATTATCTAACAAAATACACATACATGTATCATTTGAACTAAAAGAAATTTACTCTGAAGATTCACCACCAGACATTAACAATACTTGAGTTTGCTGTGACATTAGTTGTGATTGCCAAATGCTGGAAACTGCCTAACTGCCTAACATGTAAGAGATTGTCTAAATTTACTAAGGTTTACCCACATAATGGAGTGTTATCCACTTAATGAAGTATATATATATATATATTTTTTAAGATTTATTTGTGCATGCAGCACTGGGGTACAGGCCAGGGGTGGCGAGAGGCTTCACCAGAAACAGAGTGGGGAGCAGAACAGGCCAACTGACGAAGTACACTGCTGAGGGGAGCAGTGGGTGGGTCAGGAGAGGTCTGCCAGCCATGTCCCAGTCACTTCTGGGACAGGCGGGAATCGAACTCATGCTGAAGTGGCTTTAGCTTCTTAGTGCTGTGCTTTAACCCGCTGCGCCACCAGGGAGGGCTGAAGTATATATTTTTTAAAGGAATGGGAGAACTGTCCTTGTTCAAAGAAATTATTTGTGATATTTTTGCGGCAAGTTGATTAATTACAAATAGTTAATATATGATTATGCTTAGCTGACTTCCTATAGTTTTTTGCTTTCTGTATCTTCTCTAGTAAATCTTAAACTACTCTAGGTCACACTACTCATCATTTCTTTTGATGATAATTTATTTCCCCCTTTACACCTGGTGTCCCACACTGCATAGCTTTGTCTTTTATCCATCTGACTTTGTTTTGCGCTTCTTCTTCCTCAGCATCAGGTAATCACTGATCTGCTTTCTGTCCCTATAAGTTAGTTACAGGGACAGAAAATATAGTCCCTATATTTTCTAAAATCTTATGCATATGGAATGATAGGCTATGGATTCCTTTGTCTGGCTGCTTTCAGTGAGCATGGTATTTGAGATTTCCCCATGTTGAGTGCCTCGATAATTCACTCCTTTTTATTGCTGAGTAGTGTACCAATAGTTATCACTTCACTGTCTCTTTAGGTACATCACCTTATTGGTTGAGGAATATTTATATTTCTAGTTTGGGACAATTATAATAAAACTGCTATAAACATTTGTGTGCAGATTTTTGTGTATTTATCTACAAGTGGAACTGTTGGTTAGATGATATGCTTGACTTTATAAAAAACTGCTTTTGTTTTATATTCTAATAGATGTGCAGTGATTTTATTGATGTTCTATTGTGCATTTCCTTGATGATTCTGAGGAACTTTTCATTTGCTTATTTGCTAAGCAGATAATGCTTTAGTGATGTTTGTTCAAAGCTTTTGCCCATTTTTAAAATTCAGCTTATTCAATTTTTTATTGCTTAATTTAGTATACTTTCTTAATATTGATTTTTGTTAGTTTTCTAAAATATATTTGGAATGTCTTATATTGTATAGTGATTTACCAATATTTTCCTCCACTGACTTATCTTTCTACTCTCCCAGTTGTGTCTTTGAAAAATAGGATGTTCTCAATTTTGATGGTCTATAATTTTTCTACTAAAATGACTGGGCTCTGGGTATTATATCCCAGAAATCTTTGCCTAAGGTCACAAACATTTCATCCTATACTTTCCACTAAAAACTTTTTCCAGTGATCTACAAGTGTATCCTTTCTCTAATATGCTACCTTGAAAGTACAATCTTATAGAAACTTAGAAATCAGGTTGAGTCCTCCATTTTGTTTTTTTGAAGAATTATTTTGGCTATTCTGGTTCCCTTATTTTCCACATACAATTTAGAGTTGGTCTATGAATTTCTATAAAAATTCTACTTTGATTTGTACTGGAATTATAGATAAATGTGGGGGAAATATGATAATGTCATATTTACTGTTTTGAGTCTTCCAATCCATAAATCTATGTCTCTCAGTTTGTTTGGGTGTTTGGTTTCTTTCATCAATGTTTTTGTAGTTTTTCCAAAGTGCAGGTTTTATATATATTTTGAAGATTTAGCCCCATGTATTTCATATATTTGGTGCTCTTATAAACACTAATGTCTTACTTAAATTTTTCACTACTAGTGTATAGAGATTTGATTAATATTGGTATATTGGCCTTGTATTCTGCTACCTTGCTAAACTAATTTAGATTGCCTTTATTAATAGATTTGTAGACATTTTATGATTTTTGTAAGTAAATAATACTGTTAACTGTCAATAGACAGTTTTATTTCTTCATTTGCATTCTGTTTGCCATTTACTGCTTCTTGCCTTATTACATTAGTTATAACTTTCAATATGACTCTGATGTAGAGAATAGACACCCCTGCCTGTACACAGTGTTCAGTCTCCTGTAACAATCGTTAGTACCATCAACAGTGGTGATACCCACTTTCCCTTTTATCCACTGATGGTTTTGTTTTTTCTGTTGGCAGCTATGTCTCCAAAGCAATATGTGATAATGTGAGCATAGTATGTGTGGTGTCAAGAATTCGTGGATCCAGCATTCTGGTGATGTATTCTTTGAAAATGTAATGTGGAAACTAATGAATAAGTAGCTTTGTGCTATTTTCCACAATGTAGTAAAGAGAATTCTGTTTGCAAGCCCAGAATGATTATTTTAGTGATATTAGGAAGGAAGTGAAGATTCATCTCTGGTGAATCAGACCCTGTGAGACATAAGTCAAGGTACACCAACATGCCCTTTGTCCCTGCCATCAGGGAGAACAGAACATGGTACTAAGACAGTAAAATTTGAATGGTCACACAAATACACATCTCCAACTGGTCAAGGAAAGTATGAAATTCAATTACAGCTTCTTTGAAAATGAAGACATCTGTATCAGTTCTTTTTGCCTGTAAGCAACTAACTACAGAATTTAATTAATTAGTAGAATTAAGTATTAGTAATTAGCAGAATTAAATATTAGCAGAATATAGAAGTTAAAATGTAAAGGTAGCTAGAAGAGACTCTGAATACAAATGGGAATAGAAAATGTTCAGGAGGACTAAGAAATAGAAAACATGACAAAGGTTAAGTCATATGAACATTTCTATTCTCACGTTTCCCAGCCACAGTAAAGCATATGCTAAAGAGCTGACCTCTCCCCTTGGATCAGTAGCTCAGGACTCAGAGTTCTGAGAGAAAGTATTAAATAGTCAAGTAAGATATGAGGATTTGCTCCCCTAGCTTTGGGAAGGATCGCACACTCCTGGGAATGTCATCTTAAGAGGAGATTTTCCCAAAGGGCAAGGTTTCTACCTGATAAAGTGTTCACCATCCCCTCGCTATAGAAATGAACTTGAATTTGTGATTAGAAGGATAAAAGAAGAAAAGCCTAGTGATGTGACTGTGGAGGATAAGGGTAGTGGAGAAGAAAACATGAGATATCTTATAAACAGCACTTGTTTCCTGATAAAATAAGAGATGAAGAACAGATGAGAAGAGTCCTCAGAGTACAGAGAACAGGCCAGACCAAAAGACAAAACTTGTATCTGCAGGTAACTGCCCTTCCTGATAGGTAACTTGCCTCTGAGACTCACCCTTCAGTCTTATAGCTTTGGGGGCTACAGACTATCTCCAATGGTGGGTGTTGTTCCTACAAACTTGGGGGCTGGAAAACCACAGGTCTGTGTGTCAGTCTGACCCATAAGGAGAAGAGAAAAGGGCAGGGCTGTGTGCACTCTGGCTTTTGCCTCTGGACTTGCCAAGCAGGCATGCCATTATTCCCATGGGAGAGGAAATGGACAGTCTGGAAAACCTATAGACAGCAGGGCTCTCTGTGGAAGGAAAATAAGTCCAGTCAGATCACCAGTACTTATGAGTGAAAAGAAGGGGACAGAGCCAGGAAAATGGCTACATGGAAATATAGAGGTGTTCTTGGTCATAGATTGATTAAAGTGAGAGAGTAGACAAGTGAGATTTTTCTCACCCTCTAATTGCTACCCAAACAAAGACTAACTTTGAAAGAGGGGCACTGGTGTGAACAGGTAAAAAAACCAAAGGTAAAAAAAAAAAAATTTTTTTTAGGTTTTTTTTTTAAAGATTTATTTATTTGTACATACAGAACTGGGGTACAGGCCAGAGATGAGAGTCTTCACCAGAGACAGAGCGGGGAGCAGAACAGGCAGATCAATGAAGTACACTGCTGAGGGGAGCAGTGGGCGGGTCAGGAGAGGTCTCCTGCATGAGGTCTCAAACTCATGCAGAAGTGGCTTTAGATTCTCATTGCTGTGCTTTAACCTGCTGCACCACCAGGGAGGGCCAGATCAAATTTTTTAAAGTGACATTCACATAATACAAAACTAAGGATTTAATGAATACAGCTGAGTTGCATTTAGTTCTTCATACTGTTGGTCAACTATCATATCTATTTAGTTCTAAAACCTTTTCAGTACCCCAGAAGGAAACCCCAGAGTCTTTAGATATTTGTTCCCTATTTACTCTTTTCCTCAGGCCCTAGTGACTACCAACCTGCTTTCTGTCTTTATAGATTTACCTCTTGTGGTTATTTCACAACAATGGACTCATCTGACATGTGAGGATTGTTTGTGATGTTTTTCAATTAACCTCATGCTTTAGAGGTTTGTCCATATCGTAGGTATCAGTGCTTTATTCCTTTTTCTGAGCAATACTGTGGATACTGTGTCACTTCATGGCTATTTACAGTAATCAATTGCTGAACATTTGAGTCATTTCAACTTTTGGCTGGCATATATAGTGTTGCTATGGAGTGGAAATGCCAGATTTCATCAAGATTTTTACTCTTTATTACTTAGGGGCTTACATACTGGATTACTGATCTGTTTTCTGTTCAGATAGTTATTGAACCAAAATTAAGGACATTGTAAATTCAAACCCAAGTTGGTGTTATTTCAGACTAGAAACAGTATTATGCCCATTTCACTGTTTGAAGCTACCAAGTCCAGTTAGTTCCAGAAAAACTGGGACAAATCAGACTGATTAATCATCAGTTCTTAAAACTGAGACATGCCATGTTATATTTCCCTGAAACAAAATGGCCAAGTAAAGAATTAGAAATCTCCCTTTTTAAATAGCTAGACTGTAAACTCATTCATATTCTTTAGTAAGTTTGGGCCTACTGATGGCTGGGGGCCAAGTGACAGTGACAGGTGGCACTCTGTCCTCTGAATACGCTAGTAGGTACTGCCAAACAGCTGTGAAGGAAAAGTTGTTGGTGGTATACAAAAGTGGGTCTTGTAAAACCTGCATGAGGTCTATTACCTTTGCAAATTATATTGCCAAAAACACATATCACATTGGTGTAATAATCGATGTAGAACTTCTGAGAAACTTGGTATTGAACCTGTGGGCTTGTGGGCATTACACATTTATGGAAAATTATTTCCCTAGCCAATGAGACAACATCTTCAAAAATGGGGAGCTTCTAGATCTTTGACATGGCGAACCATTACCTGGAAAAGGATATGCACTGTTACCAGTCATGCCTGAAGGCCATTCTGCAGAACTCCCTAGGTAACAAAATCTTTTGCTTGGTGCACAAAGTGGTCCTGGTACAGGACCTGATTTCTGAAGAGCAAGATAAGACTTGAGGCGTTTGTCTCATTCATTGGAATGTTCTTGTTTCTGAGCATCTATCAAGGGTGACAGATGAAGACTGGGCCAGAGAGCAAGAGTGATAAGGTGTGAGTCATGGAGGTGACCATAAAACTTTTCAAAAAATCAGCTGCAAGAGAAGATGCTGAGATAGAGTGGCGAGACACAGAAAGGACAGCACCACTGAACTTTGCAGTAAGAGTCTGGGATCCTTGAGCAAGCAGAAAGATTGGAAGGACACCCATCAGTTGGCTGTTTTTTAATTACTCATTTGTAATTTGATAATTCTAATTTACTGGAGACAATTTTGTCCTTTTGCATTTTTTCCTTTTCTTTTAAGATAGTGTCTATCATAAAAATCAAGAGATTCTCTAACTGCATTGTTAATTATTTCTGAAATGTATTTTGAAATCTTAGTGAACGGTTTACAGAAACAAATATTTATTCCACCCCATATCAGTTCAGTTACACCAAATAACAATGACAGATGGGGCCAGAATGGGAAGAAGAATTTATAATATACACCCCTGAGAATGTGTTGATACCTACAGTATTAAAGAAATGATAGGTAATATACAGAAATCTGAAAGACTGGGGTTGCTCACTTGAGGGGATTCCTTGGTGTAAGGAGCCCATTTTTAGAAAAGTCCTTGAAGATGTGTACAGCTTCATTCATAATCAGAAAACAGATGAAAAATAGTGAGATGCTACTTTATACACATGACATTGGCAAAAATTTAGCATCTGCTATGATCGGGCAGTGCTGCCCTGTGCACTGAGAAACTATTTGAAGCAGAGCTGTTCCTCAATCGGCCGGAGGAGATGCTAAATACATTCTTATTTAATGACTGTCAAATTAATGCTGAATTTTTTTTAAGAAAAAATATGCTAAGATAAACAAGATGAGAGAAAAGAAAGGAAATGGAACCACCTCAGAAAAGGAGTAAGAGAAAATGGGGTGCATGGTGAGTGGTCAGCGAAGCACACACAGCAGAGAGGCCACTGAAAGTAAATGAAGCCTCTTTACTGACAGGGAGGGATAAATGGACGGGAAATAGGGCGAGGAAGAGAGCAACAAGCGACAACTGCCACCGCAGTCACGGATGAAGTAGCCCTAAGTGACTGGAAGGATGTGAGAAGTGAGTCTGGGAACCTCGTGTTGGACTTTGGGACTTCTAGCCCTGGGAAAAGCTGGGAGTGAGAGGACAGTAAAAGGAGCGCAGAGCCTAGGATAACTTGGCAGGAAGCAACAAATGACTGGAATAATGCAACGGAGGGCAGGCTGAGGAGCGGCCAGGGAGTGGAGGCAGGATGAAGCTGAGCTCTAAAGAATCCATTCGCGGCAAAGATAACAGTAGCAAACCCTCTGCAGTTCAAGCTGTCAGCCAGGCACTGCTCAGGCAATTTATGGGAGTGGGGGCGGGGGGGGGGTATCCATCAGGGTTGGCATAGCAAGGAGAAGCAGCAAAGGGGCTGTCCCAGGTCAGATCTGTGGGGAGGAACTGAGCTCTTGAATCCCAGGGAAGCTGCCACTGGCAATAAGGAGACTGGGAAAATTGGAATAAATAGAGGTTGGAGAGCAAAGATGAGATGGTAAAATGCCTTAAAAAAAAAAAAGAGAGAGAGAGAGAGAGAGAAGGGGCCTCCCTGGTGAACCAAGGGGTTCAGTCTCAGCACTATGAAACTATTGCCAGCCACTGCAGCATGAGTTCAGTCCCCAGCCAGGGAGCTGACCCACGTGGCAGCAGACCTCTCCGGTCTCACCTGCTATTCCCCCCAGCAGTGTTATTCAGTAGAGCTGCCTGTTCTGCTCCCTACTCTGTCTCTGGTGAATCCTCTTATCCCCCACACCTCTGGCCTACACCCCAGTTCTTATATGCATAAATAAGTCTTTAAAAAAAAAAAGAGGAGAGGAAATAAAGAATAAAAATGGAATGAACTTAATAGAAAAAGAATG